CTGTCTGACGGGTCAGCTGGCTTCGCTGCCGGGAGGAGGGAGCAGCACTGGAGGCAGAGCCGGTTCGTGAGAAGGTTTATTTACATTTCAGATCATGGCATCGGTTAAATCTGTCATGAAATTAACCTCTGGCTGTGCTCGATGAAGGTGTGTGAGTAGGGGTTTGCTGCTGTCAGATAATACCTGAGCATTCTGCTTCTAAATAAAGCCTTTTTTTATTTGATTTTCCAAGGTTTGCTTTGTTCATATTCCCATGTAGAAGAGCAGTTCATTGTCTGAGCTGGGATGTATCCTTCCTCTTTTTTTCCCGAATTTTCACTCCTGAACCGCCCATCCAAGCAGGCAGAGGAGCCTGGAGAATTCATCCCTGGGCTCCCCAGATGCTGTTGGGGGGACAGAGGTGCCACGGGCACAGGGAGTGGGGTGCAGTGAGTCGGGGCAGCAGGACTGGCACTCCATGAACCTTTTGTCGTGAGGTTTTTGTGAATTCCAGCGTTTGCTGGTTTGGGGAAGCTGCTGTCCCAGCATCTGCCCGGGTCAGTCTGTGTCTGCCAGCGAGCCGGGCCGGGCACTCAGCCCTGCCAGCGCCCGGGGACCCACAGCAGCTGCGGAGCAGGAGATGCCGGAGCAGGACGATGCCGGAGCAGGAGATGCCGGAGCAGGAGATGCCGGAGCAGGAGATGCTGGAGCACCAGCTGCGGAGCAGGAGATGATGGAGCAGGACGATGCCGGAGCAGGAGATGCCGGAGCAGGAGATGCCGGAGCAGGAGATGACGGAACAGGACGATGCCGGAGCAGGAGATGATGGAGCAGGAGATGCCGGAGCAGGACGATGCCGGGCTCTTGGCTGGGAAAAGCTGATGCTGGGCAGTGCCATGGCCAGGAGGCTCCTCCTCAGGCAGTGGAGGTGGTGGTTTGGTTTGTGCGTGGGGTCCCTCAGGTGTGACAAGGCAGCAGCAGCACCCCTGTCCCCTCCCTTGGCATGTGCTGGCTGCCACCTGTGGGCGTGGGGCCCTGGTCACGGGTGTCAGAGGAGACAGAGGGGGCTCACAGAGGGGAGTAGCTGCTCCTGGAGGCGTTTTGCTCGTCTCCGTGCTCAGGGGCTGCCCTAGCTGTGTGTTTCACTGGAGTTCCACCCCTCGTGCTGGCCAGGCTTCTCAGGGCGCCCTCGGCATGAAAAGAGCTCTGAAACACCCAGCAAGGCTGTGGTTTGCTGTCAGTGAGTTGCTTGTCTGAGGAAATGTTTCAAATTCTTCACTGTGGTGTCAGTGGTGGCATAAAAGGCTCGAAATAATTAATGATTTGCTCGATGCATCAAGCATTTTCCTGAAAAGACAGTGGTGTTTTGTTTCAAACCCCAGTAGAAGGACAGGAACGTGGAGATGTGAGAAAATAAATATATGGTTTCTTAGATGCAGAATGTAAGAACTTTCTTGCCTAAGACTGGGGAGAAACGAAAGCGAGCTCCTGGCTGCACTCTGGGACAAACCCCCAGTTCCCGCTCGGCGCACGGAGTTCTTCGGGAGCCCTGACAGGATCATTAATATCAGGCAGCAGCACAAAGGGGAGCTGGGGCTTTGTGGCAGTGAAGGTTATTTGTTCATTATCCTTTTATCTTCTGAGAGTTTCCAATTGCTTTTCCCGGGAAGTAGGTTAGGAGACCGCTGCTTCTGCAGGGGCGGCTCCGCCCGGAGCCCCGAGCCCGGGGAAGGGCTGGGGGGACAGGGGTGCTCCCGGCAGCGCCGCAGAGCAGGGCTGTGTGCCCGGGGTGGGGTCTGGCTGTCCGTTTGTCCATCTGTCCGTCTGTCTCTCTGTCCGTCTGTCCGTCTGTCCATCTGTCCATCTGTCCATCTGTCCGTCTGTCCCAGAGCCAGCGCTGCCCTCCGCAGCTGGAGTGCGGGGACAGGGACAAGCGCCAAAGCCACTGCCAGAAATGTGGCGTGGGCAGGATGGGGGTCCCGGGCTGGGGGTCCCAGGCTGGGGGTCCCATGCTGAGGGTCCCAGGCTGGGGGTGCTGGGCTGAGGGTCCCAGGCTGAGGGTCCCAGGATGATGGTCCCATGCTGAGGGTCCCAGGCTGAGGGTCCCGGACTGGGGGTCCCATGCTGAGGGTCCCAGGCTGGGGGTCCCATGCTGAGGGTCCCAGGCTGGGGGTCCCATGCTGAGGGTCCCAGGCTGAGGGTCCCAGGCTGGGGGTCCCAGGCTGGGGGTCCCAGGCTGGGGATCCCAGGCTGAGATTCTCAGGCTGGGGGTCCCAGGCTGGGGGTCCCATGCTGAGGGTCCTGGGCTGGGTGTCCCATGCTGAGGGTCCCAGGATGAGGGTCCCAGGCTGAGGGTCCCAGGCTGATGGTCCCAGGATGAGGGTCCCGGGCTGGGGATCCCGGACTGGGGGTCCCATGCTGAGGTGGGGGGTCCCGTGCTGAAGGCCAGCACCGGCTCGGGCACCCCGAGCATCCCCGGTGTCCCGGTGGCACGGAGCCCCCGAGCAGCCCCAGCGGAGCCCGGGCCGGGCAGCGGGCACGGGCCGCTCCTGCGGGCCCAGGGCGGCTGAAGCGTCGCCCCGGCCTTGCTGC